AAAAAAAAAAATCCCCAAGAAAATTGTCATGTCTAGTTAAATTATGTGTTGGAAATGTATGTAATACTAAATATTCATCCCTGTGTATTCTCTTTTTTTGGAATAGATTTAATGAGATACAATTCATGTACCATACAGTCCATTCATTTAAAGTGTATAGCTTAATGATGTTTAGTAATCAAAGCATTCTAAAATGCTAAATCTAAATCTATCAATCTAAAAATGATATCGCTGATAATCTGAAAGCAGCTGATATTTGTTGAACTGGTCTGACTTAAGTTCTTATGGCTGCTTAAAACATTACCTTCAGAGGACTGGCTGCCCCTTCAAAACTTTTATAGAAAAGTAAACTGTAGAAAGGGAACTTCTATTGCTATTTTTTTATTGTGGTAAAATATACATAATGTAACATTTAACATTTTAACAATTTAAGTGTACACAATTCAGTTACATTAAGTATTTTCACAATGTTATACAACCATCACTACCATCTATTTCCAGAATTTTTCATCATCCCAAACAGAAATTCTATACCTATTAAATTATAACTTCCCTTTTTCCCTTCCCCCCGACTCCTCATAACTACTCTTTCTGCCTCTATGAACTTGCTTTTCCTAGGTATCTCAAATAAATAGAATCATACAATATTTGTCCTTTTGTATTTGATTTATTTCTCTGTATTATTTTTGCTCATTCCAAAATTAGGAGGGGGGTGGCTAAATACCTGTGTCTTTAAACTTTTCTTGCCCTACATCATCTGTTAAGGAAAAAAGAAAAAGACTTATAACCACTAAATAAGGCAATATAAAGTTCAAGGTTGCAAGTGTCACACAAGAAAACATTTTTCACCTTATTGCTTCTATTCCCCTGAGAAAAATATGCTGTTACTGAAATCTTCAATTCAAAGGTCACTTTCTTTTGAGACTTCCCCACAGCAAAATTAGTCACACTTTTCTTTCTGGTCCTAAAGCACTTTAAACATACAGTACTCTATGTTGTTTGCATATGTGCCTTTCTCCACTAAACTATAAGTAATTCAGTGGTACAGGCCATATGTTATGCAGATCTTTGGGTTCACAATGCTTGACACCACTGCTGAAGATATTTGTTGGCAAAGGAATAGATTCATAATAAAATTTAGCATATGAAACCAAAGTTGAAAAAAAAACCCTTTATTTGAGTTTACAAGCATTAATGTTATTTGTTTCATCCTTTTAATTATGAAGAAATATGCATGCAGATAAATATGTAATAATTTTATCAAATAATATATTAATTTACTTCATTTTTAAAAAATCACATCTTTAATTAAGAGTAGGAGTAATGTGGGAATTGGAAGTGTAAGATCAGTGAGTGCATATCAGGATAAGCAATAATTACTAAAGTTATATTTGAATCATTTGTATTATGACTATACAGTGTACTAAATTGTGCCCAAGCTTATCCACGTTTTGGTTCTGCTATTTGGAACACTTTAATTTACTGCATTATGTAGGAATGGGGTACCCAAAAATGTACTCACAAGACCTCATAAATAAGGATAGTATTGATATAGATATAGATATACTATAATTATGTTAAATAAAATAGTAAGCTAAAATGCTCAGCCAGAGTAGTATTGAAAACCAGTATCTCAGTCTTTAAATGTCAGATACTAAATTAAAATTATAAGGCAGTAAATAATGTCAGTAATATATAATGATGTATGAGAAAAAATGCTATAAATCATTGATGGGTTTTTTTGTTCTTATTTTTAGGGTTGCTGGAGAAAGATAACTATTGATGACTTTCTGCCATTTGATGAGGATAACAACCTATTACTTCCAGCTACAACCTATGAATTTGAACTCTGGCCAATGCTTTTGTCTAAAGCTATCATTAAACTGGCAAATGTTGAGTACGTAGTGAGAAAATATCACTCACTTGTATAAAAAATAGTAAACAACAACTATGCATCTATATTGCATAGCTTTATTTTTTTAAAAAATCAATTAAAAGAAAGGTTTGTTTCTAAACATTGTAAATTTTCTGGTATTAAAAAAGAATGTACCAAAGCCACTAATTTGAAGTATTGGGTTAGCCAATAAGACAAAACTCCCCCAAGAAGAGATACTCAAAATATTATTCTATATTCAAGTGCTCTTTTAGTATTAATGGGAAGTCAATCACAGAAAATAAAGTTTCAGCTTAATGGAAGAAATAAATTATTTTGTAAAGGAAAATACTGGTTCATCTAAATACTGAATAATATATACTTGAATCTAGTTAAAGTTTTAGATTCTGTGAATGCAGCAATAACTTACTGTTCTTAAAATCCCTGAACTCTTCTCAAGGATGTCAATGTGCTTCTCATGCTTTTGATAACATGGGTTACTTCTGGTACATTCATGATGAGAACTACTCGTATTTTCTTTAAATATTCTTGCAAAATCCTGCACGACTTGTATACCAACATATATGAGACATGCATGATATATTTCTCTCAGCTTTCACTTTCAGAGATAAGGAGTCATTTCATCTTGCCCTTAGCAATGCAAAAAAGCGTAGCTGCTTGAGTTGGAAATGTGTAACAACTTTATGTCATCCTTCAGTGGGAGAATTCTCACATACACTGCACAGGCTTGAATTTTTATACTCTTCTGTCTCCTGCAGTGTGTCATAGCATCTCCATAGTCCATGGAACACACCCACGTGCTTTAACAAACTATGTCAGCACTTGCTCATGGCGCAGCCCCCTCCCCTTCTATGTGCTTTGTGTGGATTTTCTCTTGGCTCAGCTTCCTTTTCTCTCCCAAGGCTACAAAACAAAAACAACCATCTTCTTCATTTCCCTTTTTTCTTACCAGCCTTCAATTCTCTATTGTGAGTTTGTTTCACCCAGCTTTCAGCCCTTAAATTGCAATGATATTTATGAAGACTTAGCAGAGACTTTTTAAGTAGCTGAATACTACTAAATATTCACATTGGTGGCAATTATATTTGTTTATTTGAAAAAAAAAAAAACATTCGTAGTGTTCCTAATTCTCATATCTAATTTGAAGTCCTGAGAATTAGAGTTTCAAGACCAATGAAGCATTAAGTACATGACCCGAATAATAGGCATTTTTGTCTTTCTTAAAGCCATAGTTCAGTAAAATTTTATAGCAACATGAGTAGTAGAGTTGTTATTATTATTTAAGTAAAATAAATTCAGCTTGGAAATACAGGACTGAGCTAGGTGTAATACATTTCTTAGATTTCCAGAGAAAACCTGCCCTATATGGTACAATTTATGTTTTTCTATATATTTTTTTCTCATATTTGGTAGTATATAGCACTTATTTTCATATGAGGATTAGCTTTCAACATTAAAAAAATTAACACATGGTACTTATTTCAATATCAATGTGAGATATGCAAAGTAAAGAGCATGATTTCTATGAGGTTTCCAAAGTCACTTCATAAATATAATTATCCAAAGAAGAATGTGGACTAGACTGTGAACTATCCCAATAAATATTTGATATCTTTGAGATATGTAGACACATAGAAATTCATAATCTATAAACAACAAACCCATGTAAATTTATAAATGATGGAATATGTGTTTTTAAGTTTTTTTCTGAAGAAAAGGACGTGTGTTGGTCAATACCATCAACACTACCACTGACATATGATGGATTGAAACTGTGACTCCTGGGCATAAAGGAGATATGGCATTTCTGTGTATAAATGTAAACAGACTAATAACTTAGAGAAAAATTTTTTTACAAAAGAACTAAATGAGAGTACTGATATTTGGTTAATCACAGCCTTGTTTGACTTTTTCTGGCAGATCCACTCTTTTGTACAAGATAGAACAGATGTTTCTGGCTTCTCTGCAGTTATCTAAGGATTTCATTAAGAATTTCTGATACCCACTTTGACCTGCCAAAGAGAAGACTGATTTAATGCACAGTCTCATAAGCATCTTAAAATAATCACTGAAATTGGAAAGATAAAAGACACTGTTCTATTTAAAAAGAACATGACTGTGTATTGAATGTATAAAGTGAATTATACACTATGTTGTACTTTATGTATATGGCTGATTAATATTAATTTTAAATCTTTTTAAAGTAAAGTTTATAAATGTACTTTGTAAATATGCATGAAATTTTATCATTGGACATAAGTGTTCTAACAAAGCAAATCATCTGGGTGTTGGGATACATCTAGCTGAATTTTCCTGTACTGTAATGTATAACCAAATGACTCCTATATTTATTATTATACTGATATTTATTAGTGATTCTTAGTCCTTATATATCTCTCTGTGTTTTCAAATTTTGGTAACTACAGCATTGTGCATTTTCTTTTTTAGTATCCACATAGCACAGAGGAGAGAGCTGGGAGAGTTCACGGTTATTCATGCACTCACAGGGTGGTTACCGGAAGTCATTTCTCTTCAGTAGGTTTGACCATGAAGTTGCTAATATCTATTTGGTTTTTAATTCCTTCTCAAGATTTATTTAAAATATTCTTAGTATTTATGAAAATTTCAAGAAAAATCTAAGAGTCATGCTTGATCACTCATTTTCTTCCTCTCTCATTTATAATCTCTCACTGGGCTCTGTCAACAGTACCTCCCGCACTTAATTTGGATCTATTTGTTTTTCTACATCTCAATTATTGCTATCCTAGTTCAACTCACCATCACTGCTCACAACTGGTCTCCCTGGGTCTATTTTACCCACCTCTATTTAATTTTCCACATGGCAATTAGAATAATTTCCTAAAACATAAATCATATTATATCGATCTCCTTGCCGAAACCTTTTCAGTGGTTAACCATTGCACTTGAATGAAGTTTTCAAATTTTTACCCTGGTCCTCAGGGATCTACATTGCCTGACTCTGACACAATCTCTGGCCTTATCCTTGACCTCATCCCTGCCTTGGCAACCATTCACTGGCCACCCAGATCTTCTTTCTATTTCTCAAATATACAAAAAACGTACAAAGCTGTTCTTTCTGCCTGAAATAATTTTCCATCAGATAACCTTTAAGTCTCACTGAACTTAACTTTCAACTCCTTAGACATTACTTCTTGACCATACAATCTAAATTATCTCTTCTTCAAGTTATGTCATATCCCATCTTCCATTATTTTATTTTGATCATAGAAGTTATTACTGCCTGCTATATTCTCTTTCTTTCTCTTTCTTGGTTGTATCCATCCACTAGTTGTTAAGGTCCATGAGAGTACTGACCCTCTTTGTCTTGCTCAGTGTTGTGTCTCCTGTGCTTAGAACACTTATGACACTGAATGACTGTCATATGGCATGTACTCAGTAAAAAGTCATTCAGAAATTAATTTTGATTTCTTTTCTCTAAGCCCAGGATATATGGACAAGGTTTGGGAGCTCTTAAAAGAAATATTGCCAGAATTTAAGGTGTCAGATGAGAACAACTCTGAAAGCAAAATAGCAGCGATAGATACCAAGTTAAAAGAACCAGGAAAAGAAGGGAAAGATGGCAAAGAAGGGAAGGATGGAAAAGAAGTGAAAGACGGGAAGGAATTCAAACCTGAGGGTTCCTCGACGACACTAAAACTTCCTGAGAAGACTGACAAACCTCCAAAGGGTGAGACATTTTACATCAAAAAGTTATTCAGTATGGACATTGCATATAAATGCTTTACAATCATTGTTGAATCTAATTTTTTTTGTTTACATTATCATTGCTTTAGTGTTGTGAAAATAGCCATGTAATTAGCATCTTTCTTTTCTAAGACTTTAGAACTTATGATAGCATTTACTATATGTTTATTATTGTTCCATATTTTGCTTTCTTTAAAAATCAAAAGCAATTTTCTGCTTTGATGGTACTGAATTAATGTAGTGTTAATATAAGAAGAGACATTAAGTTCTCAATTTCCATCAAACACACCTCTTTCCTATGTTACATACAGAGTAGAATGGACCAAAGCACGCAGCAAAGGAGAAAAGTTATCTTGTGTTTTTTATTTTTCAGTGAGATAAACACAGATTAGATTATGATTTTCCAATAATTCATTGTAAGCTGAAAGCTCAAATATGAAGAAAAATTCAAGTTATTTTACAAAATGTAGAATTATATATTAAAAATTTACGTATATTGTATCTCCTAAAGTATTTCATATAGCTATGCATATGAACAATAATGCTTGTATAGTAAAATAAACAAATCTACTGGAAAATACTCAGCTTTTTTGTGTATGTCGTTAGTGTCTACAATGATATTTCAAATATTGACCTGGAAAAAGAAACAGGCACTGATGAAATATCTGAGTATATTTGAGCCAGTATGAGTGACTGCAGCCCAGGAAACAGCTGAGTTGCCTCGGGATGTGCCCCAAAGAGACAGCAGAGTTTTCATATTTTTATAATCACAAAAAAATAGTAATAAAGGGGAGAAAAGGGAATAGTCCCTTCATCAGTACAACAGTTTTTCTGTTAATTACTACATAGTATATAGATTGGTGATTGCTGCCAGGATACATTTCGCATATATATATATATATTTAGTAGTAAGGGTCACAAAATCCATTCCCAGTTTTTAGGTTAATTTACAACTTCTTTAGGCATCAGCAAGTCTGGTTCTTAGGTAAAAATAGCCACGTGGTAAACATTCTCAGAATGTGGGGACATGACTTAAAACCCATTCCAGTCCTCCAGATACTTTAAGAATTTAGGTGAACTCGGTCAGAGCAGATTTTGATTTTATCACAAATATTTATGTTTATAATGTATTTATTTTTCAGAACTATTGCTATTATTTTTTATTGTGTAGTACATTTTTTATTGGTTATGACTATTCATGAGATACGAAGCTGATTGCTACCACTCATGCCCAAGATGTGATGGCCAGATCCATACTGGCAGCATGCCCATTACTACAAATTGTGGTTATACCCTGTGTCCCCAACCAATTATCCCCGACCTCCTTCACCATCCTCCTTTCCCCCACTCCACTTTGTACCCCTATGTATGCTCTCTCCCTCTGGAAGTCCAACATACCACTGTGGTCTTTCTTTCCTTCCTTCTTTCTCTCTTAGCTCCCACTTTTGAGTGAGTACATATGGTATTTATCCTTCGGTACTTTGGTTTTTTCACTCAAGATATGTTTCTCCAAGCTCATCCATGTTATTGTGAATGGCAGAATTTCATTCTTTTTTAAGGCAGAGTAGTATTCCATGGTGTATATATACCACAGTTTCCTTACCCAATCATCCATTGATGGACATTTATGTTGGTTCCATGTCTTGGCTATTGTAAACAGAGCTGCAACAAACATGGGAGTGCAGGTATCCCTTCAACATGATGATTTCCATTGCTGGATTATATGGGTATATACCCAGAAGTGGGATTGCTGGATCATATGGAAGATCTGTCTGTAGTTTGAGAAACCTGCATACTGTTTTCCATAGTGGTTGTACTAATTTACAGTCCCACCAACAGTGTAGGAGTGTTCCCTTCTCCCCACACCATCTCCAGCATTTGTTATTCACCATCTTTTTGATTATAGCCAGTCTAACTGGGGTGAGGTGATATCTCAATGTGGTTTTAATTTGCATTTCCCTGATGACTAGTGATGTTGAGCATTTTTTCATGTACCTGTTAGCCATTTGTATGTCTTCCTTTGAAAAATGTCTATTCAGCTCCTTTGCCAATTTTTAATTGGGTTATTTGTTTTTCTACTGTGTAATTGCTTGAGATTCTTGTATATTATGGATATTAATCCCTTGTCAGATGCATAGTTAACAAAAATTTTCTTCCACTCTGTAGGTTGTCGTTTCACTCTGTTGATTATTTCCTTTTGCTATGCAGAAGGTTTGCAGTTTGATATAGTCCCATTTGTTTATTTTTTTCTTGTGTTGCTTGTGCTTTAAGGTTCATGTTCACAAAGTCGGCGCCCAGACCTAGTTCCTGAAGTGTTTCACCTATAGTTTACCTTAGTAATTTTACACTTTCAGTTCTTATACTTAAGTCTTTAATCCATTTTGAGTTGATTTTAGTATATGGTAAGAGATGCATGTCTAGTTTCATTCTTCTGCATACGGATAGCCAATTTTCCCAGCACCACTTATTGAAGAGACATTCTTTTCCCCAATGTAGATATTTATTGCCTTTGTCAAATATCAGATGGCTGCAAGCCTGAAGGGTGATTTCTGGGTTCTCTATTCTGCTGCACTGGTCCAAATGTCTATTTTTATACCAATATCATGCTGTTTTGGTTGCTATAGCTTTGTAGTATAATTTGAAGTCAGGTAATGTTATGCCTCTGGCTTTATGTATTTTGCTCAGGATTGCTTTGGCTATTTGGGGTCTTTAGTTGTTTCATATGAATGCTGAGATTGTTGTTTCCATTTCTGTGAAGAATGTCTTTGGTATTTTGATGGGGATTACACTGAATCTGTAGATCACTTTGAGTAGTATAGACATTTTTACAATGTTAATTCTTCCAATCCAAGAGCATGGAATGTCTTTCCATCTTTTTGTGTCTTCTTTAATTTCTTCCAGTATTGGTTTGTAGTTCTCATTGTAGAGATCTTTCACCACCTTGGTTAAATTGATTCCTGGGTTTTTTTTTTTTTTTTTTCATGACTGTTGTAAATGGGCTTAGTTTCTTGATTTCACTTTCTGCAGTTCATTATTGGAGAATATAAATGCAACTGTTTGGGGGGCATTAATTTGTGTCCTGCAATGTTACTGAAATTATTAACTAGCTCTAGGAGTTGTTTGATAGAGTCTTTACATTTTTCTATATATAGTATGATGGCATCTGTAGACATGGACAGTTTGCCTTCATCTTTTCCAATCTGGATGCCCTTTATTTCTTTCTCTTGCCTGATTTCTCTGGCTAGTACCTCCAGTACTATGTTAAGTAGAAGTGATAAGAGTTGGCATCCTTGTCTTGTTCCTGTTCTTAAGGGAAAAGCCTTCAGTTTTTCACCATTCAGAATGATACCGGCAGTGGCCTTTTCATAGATGGCTTTTATTGTGTTGAGATACTTTCCTTCTATACCTAATTTGTCAAGAATCTTTATCATGAAGGGATGTTGAATTTTGTCAAATGTTTTTTCAGCATCTAGTAAGATAATCATATGGTTTTTGTCCTTGAGTTTGTTGATTTGATGTATCTCATTTATTGAATTTCATGTGTTGAACTATCCTTGCATCCCTGGGATGAATCCCACTTGATCAAGATGTATAATTTTTTACTGTGTTGCTGTATTCTGATTGCTACTATTTTGTTCAGGATTTTTGCATCTATGTTCATCAAGGATATTGGCCTGTAATTTCTTTTTTTGTTGTGTCTTTATCTGGTTTTGACCTATGGGCCCAAGAAGAAATTAAACAGAAAATCAAAAAATTTCCTGAAAGTAATGAAAATATACATCATACCAAAACCTGTGGAATACTGCAAAAGTAGTACTAAGAGGGAAATTTATTGCAATAAACACTTACATCAAAAGAATGGAAAGACTTCAAATAAATGACCTAATGCTACACCTCAAAGAAGTAGATAAAGAACAGCAATCCAATTCTAAAGGTAGTATACAGAAAGAAATTAGATCAGAGCAGAACTAAATGAAATAGTGACCCAAAAAACAATAGAAAAGATCAACAAAACATAAAGTTGGTTTTTCAAGAAGATAAATAAAATAGACAAACCACTAGCTAGGTTAACAAAAAAAATAAGAGAGAAGACTCAAATAACAAAAATCAGAAATAAAAAGGGAGACATTACAACCCATACCACAGAAATATGAAGAATCATTATAGACTATTCTAAACAAGTGTATGACAACAAATATGAAAACCTGGAAGATATGGGTAAGTTTCTGGACACATATAAACTACCAAAATTGGATCAAGAAGAGATAGAAAACCTGAAGAGACCAATAACAAGCAATGGGATTGAAGTGGTAATCAGTAATATTCCAACAAAGAAGAGCCCAGGTCTGGATGGCTTTACAGCTGAATTCTACCAATTCCTTTAAGAAGGAATTAATACCAATTCTCCTCAAACTATTCCAAAAACTTGAAACAGATGCCATTCTCCCAAACTCTTTCTGAGGCCAACATAACTCTGATACCAGAATTACTTTTATCAACAACTTGTATTAGTATTTCCCACAATATACTTCACGGAAATTATTACTTTAGATTTTCCTCAAGAATATACTAAGATCAAGGGTGTGAATGATATTTGTCTACTATAGGCCACTTTTGAAATGATCTGATGTACATTAGCTTATAACAAGAAAGTAAATAAAGAAGCTTGACTAAATTTGTTTTGTCCAGTATATGCCAAACTAATTTTCTCCTTGAAATGCTTTCTCATGTCTCACAAATTAACATCCATCCATCCATTCATTTATTTAAATATACCTCTTTCTGATTATAAAACTAGCAGTGACCCAGAAACTGGTGATATCTTGGTAAATGAAGTCAGATGTGGAACTCTCCTGCTGGAGCTTACAGTCTAGTGAGAGAGCATAATATTAAAAATAATTTTATTTATTTATTTATTTAAATTCTTATTGGATCGAGATTGATTATACAAATTTTGGGGTTCAACATTGAGATATGTTGATCAAGTCAATATTACTAGCATATATATTGTTACAAATTGTAATTATTCTTTATGCCTCTATCCAATCTCTCCCCATCCCCCTCTCCCTCCCCTTCCCCCCTCTAATTACCCTAGATTTCCTCTCTCCTTCTGAAAGAATAATAGTTACTCTGTTTATTTGTTGCCTAGATGATATGGTCAATGCTGAGAGGTGTGATCAGGTCCCCCAATATGATCATAGAGCAGATGCTTCTTCTGTCACTTTGGAATGGGCTTTGTGGAGAGAGAGAGATTCTCTTCTTTTCTTTATCTCTGCTGGTGACTCTCCTTGTGCCAAAGCACTCCAGTGGCTGGCGGACCATCTGCATGGTGATTATGGCATCTAGCTGCTTTTGTGGCAGCCATGGTTATTTATGGTGGTGGCTGTGGTGGGCCACCCACATGGAGGTGATGTTTTTGGTATGCTCCTTTGTGCTGGCAGTATGCCTAGTTGTGGGAGTGTCCGGTCCCTAGATCCATGCCTCAGGTCCCCGGGAAGGCCTTGAGGCACTGGCACAGTGTGCCTGGTTGTGGGAGGGGGGTCTGGTCTTCAGCTCCATACCTCAGGTCCCTGGGTAGGGCCCTGAGGCCCTGGCAGTGTGCCTGATTGTGGAAGGGGAAAAATAATTTTAAAATGTATAAGCACATACTAAAACATGAACCTCAAGAAGAAATACAAGAATCTAAGGACCCATTCTAGTCTGGGCCATCAGAGAACAATTCTCTAGGGAAATTTGAACTTTTTTACAGAGATAAGAGGGAGTTACCTAGGGTAATGCATTAGTTTTCTGCTGCTGGTAACGGAATACCTGAAATTGGGCAATCTATAAAGAAATAGAATTTATTTCTTACATTTTTGAGGCTGGGAAGTCCAAAGTCCAGGGAGCCTTCTTCTTGATACAGAGTCCCAAGGAGATGCAGAATATTACGTGGCAAAAATGGCAAGAGAACTTTCACATGCTTACTTTTTTTCCATATAAAGTCACCAGCCCACACCCATTATAACCTATTAAAACATTAACTCATTACCCAATGAATGGATTAATCCTCATGATCCAGTTACCTCTTAAAGGTCCTACCTTTCAACACTGCCACATTGGGAATCAAATACCTACATGAGCTTTGGAGGGGACAAATGTTAAGACCATAGCACATAAGATGGGAACTGTGGAGAGAAGAGCACTCTAGGCAGAGGACATAGGTGTAAAGATCATGAAGCAGTAGCCGTGTATTGGAGGACTTGGTATAAGACACGTTAAGCTATAGGAGAAGAAGTGAAGGGATAAAGTGACTTGAGAATAGCCTGGAGAAATAAGCAGGAGAGTGAGCAGATCGAATCTTCTAGGTAAAGATTATTGATCTTAATCATAAGAGCTACTGAAAGCCAATGGCGAGCTTAAAGTAGAATCATGATTTAATTTGCATTTTCAAATGATTACTGTGGCTTCACTGAGAAGAAAAGACCTTGGGTGGGGGAGGGGAGTCAGTGATGTGAGTGGATACAAAGAAACCAATTTAGTGACTGTCACATCCGCTCAGGTTAAAGACGATGGCAGCTTTGAATAAGGTAATAAGGTAGTTGCTGCGGCCATGCAGATAAGGTCACTTATATGAGAGATATTTCAGAAGTAAAAGATGGCAGGACTTGACAACAATGATTTGTAGAATTCTGAGTTACAAAACTGGATAGTGGTACCTATTAGGAGAGATCAGAAAATGATTTTGAACTTACTGAATTTAGGCCGTCCCAGTGGCTCACTCGGTAGAGTGCGGTGCTGATGAACTTACTGAATTTGAGGTACCTTTAAGATAATCAAATGGATTTTTTGTGTCAAAAATCCCAAAAAGTGATACACGTTTGGGAGTTATTGACCAAGGCATGCTAAATTGAACCATAGATGACATTTTCCTAGGAGAGAGTACACAGAGAAAAGACTTTCTCATCTTCCTAGGCTGAGACTGAGCCTTGAAGGAGCTAAACGGCTGAGAGCTTGGTACAAAACAGTGAGCTGGTAAAGAAGTCTAAGGAAAGGCCAGAGAATCAAGGGAGACAGCAGCAGAGCATGTTGGCATTGAAATGAAAGGAAAAAAGTGTTTCAAGAATCAAAGAGATTGTGTCAAATATTGCTGAGAGATGAACTACGATGAAAACTTAAATTTCTCTTTTAGATATTGTGATATGGAGCCCACTGGACACCACAAAGTGAGGGAGTGGAAGATGTATTGAAGAGCGTTGAAAAGAAAGTGGGAAATAGAGTAATTGTATAAACCACCCTATGAAAACAATTGGCCTTGAAGAACAGGAGAGATACAACATGGAAGCTGACGGAGAGACAGAATATATATTTGTTAATCTAATGAGGGAGAATTAAGTATCATTAAGAGACAATCGGGAAGATACAGCTGAAATGATGGCAATAAATTGAGTTTCTTGAGAAGGTGGGGAGAGCAAGATCCATGCCCAACTGGAGGACTGGCCTAATCCGGGGGAACAATGGCTTCTGCATTCTTCTAGGTGGGCACATGTCACAGGAGGGATGGTTACAGCTGTAGGTGGGTGAACAGGTTTGGTAGGGAGAAGTTGAGAATTTCTGACAGAAGAATTTGTGTTCTCTGTTTATAGGCAGGCTAGCTGTGAGCTGAGAGTGAGGTGGAGGTGTAAGATATAGATGGTGATGGAGGTTTAAAATAGATGTGGCGAGGTTTTCAGAACGAGGGGAGGATTGTCTCCAGCAGGACTCAGCTGCCAAGTTTATTCAGAGTGGGGTTTTTCCAGATGGGTGGAATAAAATGACAGAGGAGCAACACTTATTTAGGGTATTGGCAAAAACAAATTTTTGTAAACACTGTTGCATGCTATCCAAATTTCTATGTGAAAACAGTTTATTTTTTCTATTGATATATTTTTACATATTATATTATTTCTACATCATAAATTCTGAATAAAAGTTTGAAGACTGTTAAAACCCTATTTTAAAATTATACAAGAAATCACATATTTACTATCCAGTTACTTTTATTGAATTAAGTTATCTCTGTGGGAAAACCACCAAGTAAAATCCTGACAATAACCTATTTTTAATATTTTTCCCTGTAAAATAGTTAAATATCCCACCCTATGTTTGAAGTGGTATTTATCTTCAATTTGTATCTCATGTAGGTGTTAAATCTACTATAAAAGCTAAGATAAGAAACAGGTTTATTTTGGAGGCTAAGGAATATTATAAGTAGTGTCATAGTTTTTATTTATGCAAATTTTAAAAAACAAATAACCTGACTAATTGTTACTACAAATTTAGCAGATGATCCAGAGAATAAAATGGCAAAAATCTAAGATTTCTGATTCAGAACTGGAAGGGATTTATTAGGAAATAAAAAAAGCTTGGGAAAAATTCTTTTAAGTTGAACGAGAACATGTTTCATAGAAATGTGTACATGAGTGGGAATTCAAGTGGTGGGGATAGTTCTGGGTACAGGGAATTTATTGCAGAAGCCATGTTGGCAATGAGATGTTGGTTTGTGGATGTTGAACTCTGGGCTCCACAGGAAGTTATTTTGAAGAAAGAAAACCATGTTTCCTTGAGATGGATCCCCCAAACAAGGAAGTCATTTGGGACTCAACTTTTAGTACCTGCTTTGCTGCTTTTTGTTTTTGTTTTTAAAATGAGAAGATTAGCCTGACATTATAATTATATAAATAAAATATTTTAAAATAATCATCTCCGGTAAACATAAAATTATGTGTAGCAGGTAAAAGAAATACTGCATTTCTTTTACAGTACCTGTAAATTTTCAACATTTTCTCCGGATTTATTGTGAGGTTTCTAATTAGAGAGGATTATGTTTTGGGGAAATGTGGCTATGGGCTTATATTTAAATAATACAATTGTTTTGGCCTTTTTTCCTTCAACACAATGACTGAATAAGAAACATAGCTGAGGCTTTCTAGTTAAAAGATATATTGTGTTTTTTTAATATGTTAGAGAAAGCAGATGCAAAAGACATCGGAAAGAAGAGGAGTAAAGAAGGAGAAAAGGAGAAGGAAAAATTCAAATTTTCACTTCATGGCTGTTTTTTTAATATGTTAGAGAAAGCAGATGCAAAAGACATTGGAAAGAAGAGGAGTAAAGAAGGAGAAAAGGAGAAGGAAAAATTCAAATTTTCACTTCATGGTTCAAGACCCTCATCAGATGTACAATATTCTGTGCAGTCCCTATCAGATTGTAAGTTCTCAATCTTTTAGAACAATTATTTTAGTGGTCCTAAAATTCTGGAAAACATTAGAACATACAAGTATATTTCTCTTTTCAAAAAGCTAACTAAAGTTTTTTCAAGGTTGCCCAAAAACGTTGGGCCCTCAGATGTTATGTGTTGGGTCAAGGTCCTATATATGAGACAGAAGCCAGGCTGTTCAAGTTCATATGGTACAACTGTCACAGTAGAAGCATCTACATGTAGAGGAGGCTTCTGTATTTGTTTTCAGGTATTTTTCTGAAAAATACTTGGAGTTTAAATTTGTCATTCAAATCCAAGTAAATTCACAGTTACTTGCTTAGGTAGTTACACGCCAGCCACCAAACTGAACGAAAACTGTGCATCTAGCTCTTTGCTCACAGCGGGCTTCCAGCTCTTTTATTATGTTTTAAAAAATATCTATGAGGCTGTAGACTCTAGAAGTAGTTGTCTGTTCATGTCATGATACTGACAATCATACTTTTTTGTGTATCACACTGTGAGAAATAGGAGATCTATTTATAAAAATCCTTTGTACAAAGGATTCTCAGGTTTCTATGTCTATCACTTCACAACATGTTGGAGATCCCTCATTCTAATAAATATATTTCCAACTTGGACTTACACATTGTCTCTAAAGATTTCTGGGCCAATGGACTTGTCCCCTGAACCACTCAAAATAGTCTAGGTATAGTAACCTATAAAAAATGGTGTTGGCTTGAAAGAAGATACATGACATAAAAATATTACACCTTAGACTGTTCAGGAGGAAGATTAAAATACCTCTTTTTTTTGATTTTATAGTCCCTACATTGGGCCATCTATCTTTGTGCTTCCAGAGTGTAAGTTGTGAATTTTCAGTTCATCTTCATTACATGGTTGAAAACATGTCATTTAATCTCCAGCACTGTGCTTTATCTGGTGAATTTTTATTTAGTCTTTCTTCTTAATATATTATGATGATTTGTTTGAGGACATTTTAATAATTATTGCTTTTTATTTTTACTGAAACATATCTGGTGATATAGTAAACAGTCACTAGTTATTGTATTTTTAATTCTATATTAAAAATTGTTCTCTGATATTGATGCCTTTTAAACAGTATTTTTGATAGTGGACAACATTACATTACCAAAGTTACACACAGAAGATTAATTCTTCTTCTATGTGGAAATGGCTAAAACTTTTTCTGAGTTTCTTTGTAAAGATATAGGTAACAATGCCTTTTTTTCTGATGGAAACATAGTTAAGGTCAATCTCAACCTACAGAATGACTTAGAGTTTGAACTGTGGAATCAAACTGCCTGCATTCAGAGCTCTGCTCCAACGCTGAGTGCGTGAGTATCAGGCAAATGACTGAGGCTCCATAAACTCAGGATCCTTCTCTGTAAATCAGCATCATGGTACTTGTGAGGGTTCTTGTGAGAATTAACTATTTTCAAGTCCAAGTGCTTAGCCCTTGTTGGCAGAGCTATATTTTAGCATACTTACTGCTAAAACCTTTGTTAATTCTTAAATGTGCTAAAGATATTATTTTAGAATGAACTCTATAGGAGTATTTTATATAGCATAAATAAAGGAGAGTGGCCACATGAACTTCCTTCTCCCACAGAGTTAAATCTAAATAGGTTTTGGATGGTATTATTATAGTTCATTTCCTTCAATGATCTGCTTTGGTTTTACCTGTAACAGATTAGGGATGGACCATGAGCATTCAAAAGGTAACTGGGTTATAATTCAAACCAAATGAGAAAATTAACGTGACATTTCTATTATTTATATTTGATTTAATATTAGCAGTATAATATGTTATCATTAACTCTGAGAAGTCACTGAAAATTTAATATAAAGGATCCTGTTTTATTAATTTTCTGAAAGTAGCGTATTTATCACAGCTATCATTAAAATACAATGGCAGTCAGAGTTTTAAAATGCCATAAAGAGTATATGGCTTTAAGTTGAAAGTAGTCATGTAGAGATTTGTATCTGTTTATACATGATATAATTAATATTCAATGCATATTCTAATAACTACGTGACATTTAAGTTTTCATTTCGTTATTTTTTAAGTGTGTTCCTTAAAGTATACTAGCTGCTGTAACTAACAAATGGTTCAAACAGCATGTATATGTTTTTCTCAATTACATAAAATCTGAGACTAGTGTTAATGATTGGCAGGAAGCTCTTTTCTAAAGGATGTTTACAAGACCCATGCTCCTTCAATCTTATGGCTCTTACACCTTGAGCATGTGAATCTAAAGTTCTATACCAGTTTAAAGTGGGTTTATGAACCCAGAAGGGATTGCTCCAGAGTTTACACTACTAACTACTATATCATATCTCTTCTTACTCTCTATGGATATAACCACCTTCAAAAGTTGTTGAAAACTTTTATTCCTGAAACAACTAAATTTAAAATGTAACCTGAAAAGAAAATTGGACATAAATTGACATTAATTAGAAATACCTAAGTTCTAGAAGTATGAATCAACCAAACCCTTCTGATATCTGAGAAAACAATTATCAGAAATGTTAGAAATTTGAGTTTTGAAATTAACTTATTAATTAGAAGACAATTTGGGGGAGCTGAGGGCAGCTGTCACCAACAGCTAGCAGAAGCACAAGGCACTTGGATGCCCACTGCTATCTCAAACACTGTCACCATGTGGGTGGTCCATCACAGCCACTGCCACAGCTACCATTGCCACAGTGGTGGCCTGCTGCCACGGCAGCAGCCACTGCCACCATGCAGGCATGCAGGGACACACCTGGGGTCCTCCTGCAGACCCAGAAGGAGAAGGAGCCGACAGGATTACCCCCCATGTTGGGACTGAGGGATCTCAGGGAAAAGTGAGCCTGCGGCCCGCCACCCCAGCCCCGTGAAAGGGGCAAACAGACCCCGCGGCAGGTCTCTCAGGGTAA